CAAAAGTTCTAAACGTTTTCCTTACGTCACATTCTGTGCACACACCTTTTAACGTTATCTAGGGATTACCTCTACAAGACCGATGTCTTCATCACTCCTGCATAGATGATTACTGATAATAGCGCAATTTTATATCCTCACGACTTTGCACGCCCGTTTCGTCGACCAATTTTAGACATTAAAATACGACTTCGGATTCGTATGGCATAGCGTCCACACGCTTGATAAAAATTCATCTAGCCATTCTCGTGTTATTAGGTCCACGTGAGTATAGACAGATATTACTCGCCGTCAAGGCCGATGATGCCATGAGAAGTATGCACAGACTTTTATGGGCAATGGCGTCCATATCGTTCCACCTCACGATTTTGCGTCTCCGTCATGCCGGAATTACAAAATCGGGGAAATTAAAAGGTACACTCCTGGATAAGTATCAAATGGCATAACGCCCGTGAAAAATCTCAGAAATCCGTCCAACCATTCTCGAGTTAGAGTAGCAAGCAAAAGGCGTCTCTGGAAATGCCGTACGTCATACCGATGACGTCACCAAATATGCGCAAAGCATCATGGGTATTAATGTCCTCATGTATCCATCTCACAGTTTTGAGCATCCACCACGTTGGTATTGTAGGAAATTAAAAAGTATTTAATTAAAATTTTCTCCAGTGGTATAATATTCATACCAAATTTAATGAAAATCCGTCCATCCTTTCTGAAGTTATTAAACACTTTCAGACGGATAACATGGGTGGTGACGTTTTTAACTATGACATCATCACAGTCGCCATGCGCATGTTCAAATGATACTCCAAGTCATGTTCCTCTGCGCATGTGCAACACCAACTTAACCTAACCTAAACCCTATGCAAGCGTCTCCATAATTTTCACTAGGCAGCTGTGAAATTAAAAAAATAGTTGCAATGTTATTTAATTTTTAAAGAACATTAATAATAGGGAGCATTTTTGCAAGTATGGTGTTTTGAATACATTTTACAAAGCATTTCTTTCTATCACAATAATATTAAATGTGAGGATTAATTCTACCTTATTCTTACCGTACACACAATAACGCAATAAAATGATTATGTATGTTTTTAATCTGTGATGTTCAGCGTAGACATAGTCATAGTTAGGTAGGTTGCCTATGGTCGTCGTCTTTGTCGTGAGTGTTTTTGACATAAATACGTCTATACGGAAGGGTCATTCGGCAAAAAGGCGTAACGAAAATGTGAAAGATCCATATCAACAATGTGTAAATATGGACCGTCAACAATACTCAGCTTTTATATGAACTCCTTCGTGCATTGTTATGTTAACTAAGAAACTAATTGTTACATCATCTGTTTACTCGTCATTGTTGTGTTACATTACTGCCGTCAACAATCCGCTTTCGTTATTGCGGAAAGAGCTGAGCTGTGAATCGGTTGTAGAAGAAGTACGTCGTAGACTAGATAATTTTGTGCTGGTAAAAACGTTTTAGAATATCACAAGTACTTATCTTATATAAGAATTATTCATTACATTACATTACATTTCATTACATTACATTACATTACATTACAGTTCAGAGACGTATTTACGTCAGATTCTCCGGAACCGAGGTTCCACTGTCAACTTTTTGTGTCGCTGGCCGATTCGAAACATGAATAGTGATTTAAAAATTGAAGGAATCCGTATACAGATTAGAGAAAAATTAAACGAAGACAACGTAAAACTCTGGTTACCTCCATATTGTGCTGAGGATGGTGGAACGTGTGAAGAGGAAATGCAGGTTAGGTTGTGAGTTGATTACACAAGATTATGAATTATCAGTACACTTTAAAATACTTATTTGATCATTACCCATAAGATATTTTGCCCTTTTTGGTGCCTCCCCTTCTGGACTTGGAAACAATGAATTGTTCGTGTTAACATTTTTATCGCAGTTTTCTGTGGTTATTGTACTTCTCAAGAAATGCCTTTTGTGTTTTTATTGGGTATATTAATATGTGTGTATGTGAAGAGATTGTCATTATTTTATTATAAATGTCAAGAAATGACTTAGGGGGATGGGCTTAAAGAAGTTCCACAATGAAAACTTGTGAGCATGTGTCCCTGCTAGCATAGTTTTTAGAGTAACCTTTTAGTTGCACCCAGCAGCAGTTGAAACTTATCCTGAAGCATGTGAATCACTTTTACACCTTTTGAATATTATGATGCCATTTGAGTTTCTTTTAGATTTTTCTGACCAACATTTTGTATTCACTTCTTCCATGTATGTTACACTTTTTGCCAGTCTCATACTTCTTGATTTAATTAAAAATAATGAAGTTCTTCAATGTATCCTTTTTAATTTTTCTAATGTCATGTTACTTATTTCTTAAGTCTGAATGTTCCCAGCCCTTTTCCTTCACTAAGAGTACCGGATTTTGTATGCAAATAGAATAACAGGTTAATTTATAATTTTGTATATTTTAGTCTTTGGTTTTATGATATCAGAAAATAGAGTTTGTTAATTTGATAAAATCTGGATATACAAATGAAAGCCTTGAGCTTTCTCTATATCCTGTCAGATTGATATTGGTATTTTTGTAACTGAAGAGTTCAATATATGTATCTGTACATTGATTGCATTACAGACCCTAATGAAGAACTACTGTTCATCATTGGGAATTGCAGCAGACTGCTGTTTGGCAGTACTACGGGAATTACAGCAGCATTCTTTGGATCGTCTCCATGAGCGGGATTATTTCAAGGAAACAGGCTTGGCAACTATCAGAATTAGGGTTCCTGATAAGAGTCACAATAGGAGAATAATTTCACTTAAAACAAAGCTGTCTGCCATGGTTCAAGAAGTGCAGCAAACAGTTGCTTCACAAATAGGAGTGGAATTTGACAGGTATTTGAATTTCATTTAAGCACGACAGGCATACTTTAGTGTCCACTTGAAATATAAATGTGTTTGCGGTGCCTGTTGCAATTTTGGAAAGTTGTAGGCTTTTGTGGCCAGTGTTAAGACTTGGTTTAGCACTAACAGATCATCTTCTATCCCACATCTTCTACTCCATAGAAGAATTTATCTCAACCAAAAATTCTCAGCTATTATAAGTACATGTGAGCAATAGTGGTTATGCTTTCTTGTGTAATTATTTTTGTGGTAATCGTGTAGTTGACTGTAAATTATGTCATCTATGCAATTTATATTTGTATTAGAAACCAGTATTGTATCTATACTATGACATGTTCTACATCCTTGGCTTGGGCCTATGATGGATCTATTGAATGTCAATCAGTTCTTTTCTGATCTGTTCTAAATCCTGAAAACACTGTTTTAATTCTTGCTCAAAATTTATTTCAGTTGCCAGGATTTTTTATAAGGTGTAAGATGAACTTGAAATGCTACTTTTGGTAATGACAATTTAACACCTTATTGGTATGCAATATAGCTTTCAGGTTTCAAGCTATACTTTTACATTTATTTATGAATTAATTAATCATGTTTTACAGCCCATAATGGAGGTAGAATTGAATAAAGGGAATGTTTGGTAAAATTGCTGATATAATAAATGCTTGAAGAATTTTGGTAGTGAATTTTGTTATGTGTTAGAAATTATTTGTACAGGATAAAACTGATTTGGAGTGGCAAAGTTCTGATGATGAATACTGAGCTAGCTACACATGGTATCCAGAATGGAACGCAAATAATGGCTGTGGTACTTCACAGTAACCCAAAAGAAATTAAGGTAAGAAGCCTTATGTTTAATCAATAATAACTAATGTTCACCAAAGTTTCTCCCAATTAAAACCTTGTATGATTGTAATGTTTATATTTATCACTCCCATGGTGTGAAATTTGGTACTGTATGTATTAAATTTCATAAATTTGTTGATTACTTTATTCTGGGTTGTTCTTTGTAGTCTTTTCAAAAGTGACTGACATTTCAAAGGTGCTTACTACCTCCATCATCAGGGTGATGATGGAGGTAGTAAGTACTGCTGGAATGTTGATTAGTTTCTGCCAGACCAAAGATAACATCATTCTAACAGAGTCACCTTTATTCTCGTTGCTATGGGAACCTGACATCTTACCTTATAAGTGTGTTGCCCAACATATCCAACACAATGCTTATGTCTTTAATAATAGTGCCACATAATTCCACATACATTGTACTTTTTCTTTACGAATTCATGTCATAAAATTCCTTCACAAGGTCTGTTTGTTTTATAATATTCATATTCTCTTTTAAAAATTACCGTTTTTGTTATTAAATTTTTTTTATTTCTAAACAAAATTTGTACTGACAACATAGTGGTGAGTACAGACCACAGCGTTGTTTTTCATAGTTTGGATTTTTGGTCCTGTTTTAAACACTGAATTTTTGTATCTTATTTTAATCATTGTTTCAAATTAAATACTTTGTTGGGATTAAATTTTAAATTGAATTTTTAATTCAATCACAACCATGATTTTTCATTCAGATCCGAATATCATTATTTTTCACCGGGTCCTACAACTGAGTGACCAAATAGATCATTAAAATAATCAATTACATCTCATTGTTACAAATGTGACTTCTCACTCAGTGATGTAGGATTTTTGTAATTAATACAACATATTTTTTACTTTAGTATAATGTTACAGGCAGTGGAATCCAGGCACAGAGAAATGGAGGCTACACTGGCTGCTGCCAAGTTATTGGCAGGCAGAAGTAATGATAATAGTGATTATTATTTGCAGGTAAGTTATACTTTAATATGTTTGCTGTTGAACTTGAGCGAAATGTGCTTTAGAAAGTCATTAACCTCTATTTTATGGGAACAGGATTTAAACTCCCATACATTGGGGCTGCCACCCAGACTTTAACTTCAGGGTTAATTGTTCAGCAGTATTTCAGCGTGATGCATATAAGATATTTATGTTGATCTTCTGGCTTTTAATGTGATGTGGACTTGCAGGTAATGACCATTGTTTTGGAGGAATATATATCCTCCATCTTCCTCAGAAGGTGTTCCCCTGCAATTCTGAAGATGCAGGCAGTATGTTCCTTTGCATTGTTGGTGTCTGCCTATAAGTCTACATGGTGTTAAAACCCAGAAGACAGACATCTACAACTTGTATGTCTTTTAAAATTGCATTTGCCTTTATTCCTGTCCAACTTATTGATATCATTTTTTTTGTTTGTCTGCCATTATACTTGACATATCAGTCTTAAATAGAGTTGTTAGCCACTGATATCTAATAATGATATCAAATGCAGGAGAGACAGAAGCAGGAAGTTGCCTTTGTGCAATGTTAATCTGTGTTTTGTACTGTATTGTCTTTTAATTTGAGAGCACACAATAATTGAATATGTTGAAAGACACATCATTTATACTCAGGTTACAGACCAATCAGGCAAGACTCTGAATCTTCCTCCAGAGGAACGGCAAGCGTTGGTAATTGCCATGTCGCTGCATGAAAAAGGAAAAGTGGCCTTAAAAAAGGAAGACTACGCCTTGGCCCTTGTTCTTCTGCTTGAAGCTGACAAAGAATTTAGGTATGTTGAATGGGATATCACTCTGTATGCTCTGTCGTGGTTCAAGCTATAGAAACAGGAGGAACTATAAAAGCATATTGACCTATTACAGTCGATTGACCATCTGTATGTTATAACCACATGATTCACCTATATACAGTAGATTCTGGTTAATTGGGCCACCGGTTAATCGGGACAGCCGTTTATTTGGGACAAATATTAAAGAACAAACCTTAACTCTTTACGTGGAACTTTGCATACTTGGGGCAGCTGATGTGATCCATTTAACTGGAATCCACTGTATATAGTAAAATCACCTGAAATAAATAAAAAAGAAAGTTCTATTAAACACAAGTAAGCATGTTGGTTTAAAAGTAAACAGAGAAAACTACATGTCCGTGTCTCATCACCAGACTACAGGACAAAGCCATAATATAAACATAGGTAATAATTTTTTGAAAATGTGGCAGAGTTCAGTGATGGTTACAAATCAGAATTTTATTCGCAGGGAAATTAAGGGCAGGATAAATGGGAATCCTTACTACTATACAGTTAAGAGGCATTTATCTTATAAAATGCCAAAAAATGTTTTGATTAAATTGTGCAAAACCATAACCTCTTGTTTTTTTACGGGTATAAAACTTACATATTTGCATTCTTGGAAGACAGGAATAAATGGGGGGGCTTAAATTAAAATTGGTCTGAAGGAAGTATAATTTTAGTATGTAGACTGGATTCATTTGGTAGAGAATAACCAACCACTGGTTGTCTCTTGTTAACATGGTAATTAACTTTGGGTTCCATGAAAGACAGTTAATATCTTGATTAGCTGGGTGACTGTTAGCTTCTCAAGAACTGCTACATGGAATTAGTATTTGTAAGATATACAACTGTGCATTTATAAAATGAAGCTTTCGCGGCAACTGAAGTTTATATGAAAGACTCACAGTTTACAAGCTGCATCAGGTGGCTGAACAGTGAATAAACCATACCTTCTGCCAACATTTCAAGAACAGTCTCTGCTCTCATCCTCAGGGCTACTTGGTTACGTGGCTTGTAACCTGGGAGTCTTTCATGAACTGTACATTTAATTTGTGTGGCAGTGTGTCTTTATACCGTGTTTATATTGTTACCTTTGAGAGGATTGTTTTAGAAGATGACTGTCTTCTGGGTTGTTGCTGTGTAGTCTAGTAGAAGTTTACCAGAATTTCAAAGGTTCTTGTGGCTCCCGTCATCTTCTCGCAGATTACATGGAGCTACAACCCAAAAGATATGAGCCGGGATAGCTCAGTCAGTATAGTGATTAGCTACGGGCTGGACGGCCGGGGTTCGATCCCCGACGGGGGGGGAGGATTTTCTCCCCCCCAAGCGCCTACATGGCGTATAGAGGGACAAACTTTACTTTACTTACAACCCAAAAGATGGCCATCTTTGGACTCACTGCCATGAAAATTTAAAATCCTTAGGATTGTTTTTGTTTTAAAGTAAAATATGTAATTAATGAGACATGGTGATTATGTGTGAGGTTATGTCTACATTATAAAGCATTATAATACTTACTGTGTAGCCACTGCCAGTCTCAGCTGTTGCAGTCAGTGGATAATTACGCTGTGTTAAACCTGGATATTGCATGGTGTTACTTGTGTTTGCGGAGTGTGACGCACATCCCTGATGCAGAGCAGAGGTTACGTAAATGTGAACAGAACTTCCACCAGAGTTATGGACCCAACTTGGAGAGACTTTTAGCATTGAAAGGAACTACAGGTGATGATTACGCATTTCAAGTCCTGTCAATGTCTTTGTGCTTTAAATGTAAGTGTTCACTTTGTCAACAAGCAAATACCTGGAAACTGTGAGTGATCTAAGAAGTTGCAAACTGTTGGTAGATATGTGGGATGTCAGAATTGATAATAATTCAGATTTTGTTTAATTAAAGTTTGAATTGTGGGACAATGTTGATTGGCCTGAAGGACAGTACAGGAAAATTACTTTGAAAATCTGTCATATTAGATTTTCTGTATAAAATAACTGCTCAGAAATCTGAAATTATAAATCAGAAACATAACCGCATTGTAAGATTTGAGGTTTTCACAGTGGTGAGTATGAAGATTCCTGTCTTCTGGGTTGTTGCAGCGCAACAACCCAGAAGACAGGAATCTACATAACCGCATTGTTCTTTAGATGTTTTATATATATATAGAAGAAATTTTGGTGCAGTTATGTTAAAAGATAGACAAATGAAAATTATGATGGAAAGTTATTATTATTACTCTTGGGCACTTATATTGCTATCCATACTGGTAATTAAGAAATTGCAAAGGTATAGATGTGAGCTCTGATTTAGTTGTTTACATTTATAGTCAGTTTACATGTCATTTTCTTTCCATCAGAAAATCTTACTTTAGGAAAGAGAAACACCCACTAGAATGCCATTTTAAAACTTTGCAGGTAATGAGGCTGCACTGTTCATGAGACTCCACCTTCTGCAAGCTATTGTTCTGTTCCACCAGAACAAACGGCAGGAAGCATCCAAGTTACTAGCGAGAGCTGACTCCGAGCTGTCTTCTCTCAAGGTGGATGACCACAGTCTCAGCACTCTTATAGAACTGGGTATGTAATGTAAAGTTAAAACATTAATCTTTCTTGGTTCTATTCTGCAGCCATTTTTATCAGCTTTGCTGCCTCAGTGTTATGGCATACCTTCCAGGCCTCTGTCAAACCTGTGAGGTGGAGGAATCAATTTATGAGGTGGCAATGCCCATGAGGCAGATTATTCTTCTCCAAATGCTAGAATGTGGTGAAAATTATGTCTGGAAAAGCGAATTTAACACATAATAAAGGTTTTGAAACTTAACAGGAGCCTGATATTTACATCCCCAAAGTGTAAGATTTGTCAGAAATTCAAAATTCAGAATTTGTAATTGATTGTGTGATCCTCTGATCAAGCCAGGTATCATACTTTCTTATTCCTATTAATGTTTACTGAAGAGTAAAAAATTTGTGAAGCTCATTTTGCAGTTTTCTTCAGCCTCACTCTTAGGTTCACATATTCTCTACAGCATTTTTGAATATCTGGTCGGGAGAAAGCTAATTCTGTTTCTGTTTTTCTATTCATAAGAAGTATTTATTAAGACTGTAGGTATCCTTTATCCTTTCCTGTCTCACCAAGTAAATGTTGGGATAGTGGCTTTTAAATAATGTACTAGTTTCTCCTTCCTATCCATTACATACATTTTGTAATCATTTTTGTATCTTATTTGATGTATGTAACCTTATCACTTAAATAAACATAGTTTTTAACCTAAGAATCAGTCATTAAACAAATACCAATCGTATTGGTAATTTGGAAGTTGGTGATAAGTGAGATTTTATGTAATTTGATTTTTATTTTGTTTGTTTTATTTCTTTGGAGTATGGTTTTTATTTTCTGTAAATATTTCAAGTGTAATGTTTTAAATTAAAGTTCACTTGTCCTGTAAAGGCTTACTTATTTGAGTCAGTGTTTGAATCAATCTGTCTGGCTGATCTTGTTAGTTATGTTGAAATATAAGTTCACATGCTGCTCAGGTGAGATATATGCGCTATTTGAATTCCATATTGATTACATTTAATCACCTGATTGTGTTGATATTTTGACAACTTAGGTTACACAGCAGCAGAGGCTCGTTTTGGTCTTCGAGCTGCACACGGTGATTTATCGACAGCCGAGGTTTACATCGCTAAACAGCGAGCAGACAGGGCTGAATCAAAGAACAAGGAAAAAGCTGAGAGACAGCTTAACAGGTCAATATGAAGGAATTGAGTCCTTGATTTATTCTACTGGAACTGAAAACATTTTATCTTCATTTAACAGCAGTTTGTTTGCTAGATGTTCATGTGTATTTAACAGAAAGTATATACCTTGTGGTCTCTTACTGATTTTTGGTGGTACTGCTCACCAGAACACATGGTTAGCTTTAAACTTATAATGATGAATGCAGTTTAATCTGTATGCGTATATTGACTTGTCTTTAGCTGATAGCTGAAAGTGAGTGTTTTGGAAACATTTAAAACATTAGGTTTTGTGGTTTAAGATTCTGGTATTATTTTATCAACTTATCTTTTGCATGAGTAACGTACCAAAATGTATTCGTCTTGGAGCCTGTGAAGCAGAATAATAAGATAGAATATGACAAAGAACTTGTTTTCTAATGGTTTATATATTTTATCTAAAAAGAGCATGAGATTTTTGTGTTCCTTTTTTTCTGACTTATTTTATGAACGAGAACATTAAAAGTCAAGGTCAACTATTAACTTCAATGTTAATTGGAGGGGAGCTCATTATAGCTAAAGTGTGATGTATTTTCTGCAGGGAACGCAGACAGTTGGGTCGATGCATAGATGGAGTACAGTGGGTGGAACCGAAGCTTCATAGGTCACTGATATCCATGGGCTATTCAAGTGAGGTAGCACGTGTGGCTCTTCAAGAGAGCAATAACAACGTGTCACTTAGTATTCAGCTGATCCAGGATCAGCCAAACCTCCTGAATGTTGCATCGACATCAAAGTTCCGAGTTGAAAGGGATATATTGCAACAGGTATGCTTAGAAATATTTTATTATAAGGTTTTAATATTGACATTTGTAACATTATGTCTTTTTCCATGTTTAGATGGTCATAAGATGTACAGTGCATTGTTTGTTATACTTGGTGTTGGACAGTTTTGAAAATTTTGACTAATATCTTACAGTTCCTATGTCTGTAGTTATATTTATGAAGAGCTTTGCTACAGATATCCGAGTTTCCGAGCTGCAGATATGATAGAATTGTTGAACAAGGTTTCATGGTTTTTCCTTGAGTGATCACATATTATGTAATATTCTAGCAGGACCACCTTGATTTTAATAAATTATTTTAGTAATGAGTTTTTTCTGATATATCAGTTCTTTTCTATTAGTAATTTTTAAAGTGAATGATTGGGTCATGCATTTTTTAATGATGCAGTTTCAGAAGCATAGGTCATACAGTATTAAATGAGGTGGGTGAATGTTCATGAAGATAGGGATTATATGTTCATGTGATTTTTGTACAGGTTGTGGCGGTAGGATTTGATCCACGTATGGCAAAAATAGCTTTGCAGCATCACTGTGGTGATGTGCAGAAAGCAGTGGAAGAATTGGTAACGCGTGGTGGTATTATTGACGGTGAACACTGCAGTGATGGTAGGTGATATTTTTCCTTGTAAAAATTTGCTTTATATGTAACACTAAGTTTGGGGAATTTATTTATTCTTAAAAAATATTTTTTTTATTAAAACAGATTCAGACGATTTAGAGGATCATGCGCATGCTGATGTGAAGGAAAAGACAGGTGCAGGCATGCAACCTGATACAAAGCAAGAAGACCGAGAGAAGGAACGCCTGGCATATGAGCGTTTGGCTGAGGGCATGCCGACCGAAGAAGATGATCATTTGGATTTAACTCTAGAACTTGAAGAAACATTTTTAAGGGAGTATCAGACACTTTTAATAAACCCTTGAATCACACATTGCTAAGTAAATAGTCACAGATACAGTAACTCTGAAATACAGCTTAGAAACTAGAGGCCAAATCTGAGTGAAATCGCTACCTCCTGATTGTAGTCAAGACATGTCTGTGTAATTACAGTGTTTCAGAATGCCAAGCAGTTGATTGCAGTCCAGATCTAACACAGGAATGTAACCAGAATATTCTATTTTAATAATATCATTGATAGCGTATCTAATATTAATTTTGTATGTTGTATGCCTTCTAACAAAGTCGGAGTAGACATTGTCTTTCTTAGAAATAAAATTATTTTTTTCTGGTTGTTTACTTTATTGAGTAACTGTTGCATTTTATTTGTAATTCCAAAGTGGATATCTCATCTCAAAGAGCAAGCACCCCTTCCCCCCCACTGTTTAACTCTTTTTATGTCAAGAACCAGACTTATTTATTTTTATATTTCTATTTATGATATCCATTTATATAAAAGCGTCATTGTTGGGTTGAATTTTCAATAAATGCTAGTAGTGTTAATTTTCATTTATATTATCAAATACAGAAATTATTTTCAACATGATGGTTTGTTTAATGCATGGAAAGGGTTATGGTAAGTGGTACGTCATTTCTGATGTGACAGTACGTTGACGTTTTGTTCAAATGTTATGAAGTCTATGTTCATATTTTTTAATCACCATTTCTGTTCTATTTAAACTAACACCGTATTGTATAATATCATAAACAACGTAACTTATGCCCACATAGAGATGTTTACATGATGGAGAGGGATTTTTTTATATAAATTAGCCGTAGTTGGTCAGTTCATTGTGTTCCATTGTGAGCACTGTTTTCTTCAGAAGTATTTAAATTTGATGGGTACTTTGGTAATGTATTCAGTTCCTGGCTGATGCTTGAGCCAGGAATTACAACAGATCCAGGAAGAGGATCGTTGTTTCTCTTCTCCTCATGTTGGGATGTATTACTGACTTCGGGTTCTGTCTGGTTCTTCTGCTTTAGCCGGTCACCTAAACAGCATTAGGACATTTGCTGTATGCTGTATTACATTAATACAAGTAATATAATTATCATGTAGTAAGTTAAATAATATAAGAACAAAAATAATAGATAGCAATCAAAGCTGTGTCTGATCTTCCAAAACTTAACCTTTATCTATGGGAATAGGAGATTTAATTTCCATCTTATAAATTATGTTTTTACATTCACATATTTCATCTCTTAACATATTAAATCAATTGCTTGTTGTAGAATTTTGTGATATATTACAAAATAGGTGCTGAATGCGTTGCATGAAACCTGAATTAAACACAAAGTTGCTTTTGTCATAAAAATTCTCTGGTCTTAAGAATAAAGAATAATTAACGCCATTTAATTTAAAAATAAAAAAGGAAACCAAGAATATAATGGAAAATAATCTTCTTTAATATGTATTGTATTTTGTTCATATAATTTTCTTCTATGCTGTGCTTCCTGTAACTGATTTGACCAGGAGTCTCCATGTAACAAACTTGAAGAAATTAAATCTTTTCCCCCATATTATGCCTTATGCCTACTAGCAAAGCAACATTTCAGGGATCTGGGTGGAGTTTGGGCCTCCCACCACAGTTAAACTTCACGCCCCTTAATAACTTTTCACAACATGAACATGAAAAGTGTTCACATACCTGTTTCAGTAATTTAAATTTAAAATTATTTTGGATGACCCTGAAGTGACCTTTTTATAATAGTTCTTACTTTTATATTTTTATACCTTTTCTTATTTAGTTTTCTAGATATTATCATTCAAGGAAATTTATATTGACAAAATTAATATTTACAGTCAAATTTGGGCTACTTGAAGGCAGAAGATCCCCTGAGGTTTGGGGCACAGGCATGAACTAACCCCCACCCTTGCACCATTATACTTAAGCTCCTGCCTGTATGGATTTCATACTAACTTTACTCACCCAAAAGCATCTTCTGAATTTTTATTATAGGGGATTCAAATGTCAATGATGCAGGAATTGCCAGCAGGGTTGTGAAAACCATTGTTGAAAACCAGAATTCGATCTGCAACATAGATGTCAGTGTAGTACAGTGCATTTCATTTCAAACACGACCCTGACTACAATAATATTTGTAAGCTTTGGTGACATCAATAAAACAGAACAAATTAGTTGTATTTTAGTTTTTATTTGTTAGGAAGAACATACAGAACAGTTTCACAGCGAATGTCCACCACCTCAAAGACACGATAATACTTCATGTGTCCCTAAATGTTATCAGGTGGTGTAATGGTGTACTATTCAGTATTGCTTTGTCTGGATACACATTTCTAAGTGCTTCATAAACAGCAGCAAACACTTTTTATGCAAAGTAATGTTTGGGAATGAACACTTTCTGCTCCTCCTCTTATATGGGAGGTTACTTGATCAATTTTAGACACTGGTAGGACTCCTTGAATGAGTGATGAGCCCATCACAGGTCCTCTACCTATACAAGACAGCACAATATAGAAAGACATGGACAGACATCTATGCCTTGAGTGGGATTTGATCCCAATGTCCAAGTGAACAGGACCCACATTTCGGGCCACATGACCACTGTGATCAGCTCTGCTGCTTCATAAGTATAAGCAATTGAGAAGAAGTTTGCCACTGTACTAACCTTCTCCATGTCATCACTGTAGAGTGGAGTTTTGGTTGAAGCCATCTTTATTCTCATGAAGAACATGTGAAGCATATAAATACTGTAGGTCAGACGGCTCATAGGATGGAAAAATTTCCATGACAGGAACTTATTCACTGGACCTACAGCAATACAGAATTTAATCAGTCTTACATTTGTACATACTTTATGTGTAGCCTGCATTGTTTAGGTTTTGTTACATCTGTGTTCTAGGTTTTAGAAATGAATTTGTGTTGGTATAACACATCATTTGAAATAGTATTATTATGTGAAATGCTATTACCTTACAGAGGTGAGCAGAACCTCAGTCATGATTAAGTGAACAGTCTGCTTAAAAGTACTATGATGGCATTTGTCTGGAGAGAAACAGTGAAATAATTAAGGAAGCCAACCTGGATGAATCAGATCCAGGAACTGTTATATTCAATATGGAGGAAACACAAGTACCAAAGGGTAGATTAAATTTGTATACGTTTAGTTCTTTGTGTGTGCAGACAGCCACAAATAACCATTTCATTTAAGTTGACCATGAATCGATTAATCATTCTGAATATGAGGCTATGAAATCTCTTTGACTGATAGAATTTTTCTTTGATCTGCATACAAATATGCAAAATTCAGTAGTTTTTACTGTAGTTGATCAATAATCACATTTCTTCCCTGTACATTACTTGCCTCCATATCCTGCCACACAGACAAAGATGACCCAGGAAACTCCCATAGACCATATTGGCCTTGAAAGAGCTGCATACACTTGCAACTTTATACTATGATAATAATTGTCGTCTTGTATTATTTCATGTAGTACGAGGATTGGAGTGAGCAAACAAACAGCTCCCAGCAGCCAACCAGCAACTAAGACTTTCTGCAAGACATATACCATTAGTTAGAAAATATGTTATTAGATTTCATTTCAGCATGATACACTTAAATAATGAAGAACTACAAACAATAAATCTCTTCAAAAATTTTGTAAATATAAGATGGAAATACTTTTATTAGACTATATGACTTTTTGTCCTAATGATTCAAATTAGGCTTAACTGATCAACCATGCTTTTTCATTCACTTCTACTTTCTTGATAGACATTCAATACCCTCGTGACTGCAACACCTTCCCAATACTTCCTTTTAACATCAGCCATTACTGTCCTGTAGTTGATCAGAAGAGGGAGCCATGGTGGCTTAGTTAGTATATTGAGTGGTTATGGACTGGACAACGGGTTATTTATCCATGATGGGGGCAGAGGATTTTTCCTCTAGCCTCTGCATTTTGTACATAATTGCATTTTCAGATATAAGTTCTCTGATTCTCACCATCACCACAATTGAAATTAGCCTCAGCAGCTGAAGTACAAATCATACTCTTTTCTATAATCACTACCTTCTTTGTTTATAGTAATATATTTAAAGGTATAATAAAATTCAAATTAGATGGGTTACTGCCCTCGTGCCATATAGATCAACAGTGGGCTAACTTTCCATTAAGTGTGACATGTTTTTGCTATTAGAAATTTACTGAGATCATGGAATAAACAGAAGTGTGAGTGCATATTGGTTAATTTTCAATTTTAGATCTTTCAGTTTTTTCTCTGGTATACTGACTAGATTCAGCTTTCCTGTTCTACATGCATGTTATTACCTTTGAAAGGTTTCTTCTTTTTCCAGCAGCAATGTCCTTCTTCCATTGGATGGTGTGGAAGAGGCAATAACCCAAGCTGATTCCAATAAACCAGGGTGAAGCTCGAGTATGTGTATAGTAGTAATTTGCATTAATAGGTTCCCCTTTGAGAAAACTATTAAATAATACTTATTAGTGTATTTTTGTATGTAACAAATTGGTTGCTTATGTATTGCTGTTACCTCATGGTGGAAGATATTTTTTTGCTACATCAGAGAAGTACGAGGTTTTCTTTCCAATTTAAGTTTTTGGTGATGTAAACACAGTTTAGTGGTAAGTGAGTACAAAATAAAATTAATGAAACAAATAGCCTGTTTAAACACTTGTAAGTGGTGTGTAGTCATGGTGGCCACATTATATTGAGCCGTAAGTTTACTTTGAAATTGAAGATTGGTACATATCCCAGTAGACACTCTGGACAATGTCAAAGGTCTACTATTATGTTACAGTGTGAAATCTAAATCACAGACTCAAATATATGAACAGTTGATCATCACTAATAGTTATTCATTTACTGACACTTATAACTGAGTAAGTATAGATTGAGCCCAACCCATGACATACACTTGTGAATGTAAATACTCAGATACACTTACTCTGTAATTTCATTTCTATGGAAATACATCTGCAAGAAGCAGGTGACAATAGAAGCTGCTGTTACCACCTGAAGTAAAATTAGTCCAATTTTTGGTCTCTTGACAAGGGGCAGAAGCAATAGAGGAGACAACAAATATAGTTGCATATCCACACTCAGGTACCATGTTTCAATTATACACTGTGGATGAAAGTGTTATCATATGAAACATGCAGTCGTATGATGATCTTCTTCTTCTTTATACCCTTTTTGCTTCTATGTGGAGCATAGGGGCCTCCTCTCAGGTACCATGTTTCAATTATACACTGTGGATGAAAGTGTTATCATATGAAACATGCAGTCGTATGATGATCTTCTTCTTCTTTATACCCTTTTTGGTTCTATGTGGAGCATAGGGGCCTCCTTTCAGAGGTTTCTTTGATCTGTCTAAACATTTGGTAGGACTCATTGGATGAGTGATCAGCCCATCGCAAGGCTTCTACCTGTACACAGGATAGCACAATACAGAAAGCCGTGGACAAACATCCATGCCTTGGATGGGATTTGAACCCACGCTCCCAGTGTCCAAGTGCACAAAGCCCGCGCCTCAGACTGTGCAGCCACTGTGACCTGCTGTATCATGTTAATTGTGTGACAGTTATTATGATGTTATTTATATAATATTTAAATTTGTAACCAATTTCATTTACTTGACTCAGTAACCAAGTAGCCAGTGTTTTGGAGGAACATAATGCCTCCATCATCTGAGTATATTTCTCTGAAATGGTGGTGTCTACCAACAGTTTCACATGGCATCACAACCCAATACCAAGACCAATATCAAAATCATTACTGCCATCTTCAGGTACCATGTTGCAGATATACACTGTGGATGAAAGTGTTATCATATGAAACATGCAGTCGTATGATGATCTTCTTCTTCTTTATACCCTTTTTGGTTCTATGTGGAGCATAGGGGCCTCCTTTCAGAGGTTTCTTTGATCTGTCTAAACATTTGGTAGGACTCATTGGATGAGTGATCAGCCCATCGCAAGGCTTCTACCTGTACACAGGATAGCACAATACAGAAAGACGTGGACAAACATCCATGCCTTGGATGGGATTTGAACCCACGCTCCCAGTGTCCAAGTGCACAAAGCCCGCGCCTCAGACTGTGCAGCCACTGTGACCTGCTGTATCATGTTAATTGTGTGACAGTTATTATGATGTTATTTATATAATATTTAAATTTGTAACCAATTTCATTTACTTGACTCAGTAACCAAGTAGCCAGTGTTTTGGAGGAACATAATGCCTCCATCATCTGAGTATATTTCTCTGAAATGGTGGTGTCTACCAACAGTTTCACATGGCATCACAACCCAATACCAAGACCAATATCAAAATCATTACTGCCATCTAGATCTAATATAGCTAAAGTTATAACTGATAATCTATGGGATCTTAAGATGTAGATACAAAGAATTAGACATATTAGTGAACAATATTTTTTTGCATCATTTATCTCCCCGCCAAGCCTTTACATACCATTTCTGACGGATTAATGTAGTTCTGGAGGTGCAATATTGCTGTCCACCAGTTGTTTTTGCAATATGCCACTTCAATCTGGAGGAAGCTGTCCCAAAGAGGACCAGTTGCCATGTGCAGGATGATACCCGTATACACAAGAATAAGTATGGCCATCATAGGTGTTGTCCTGGTAAGAAGAAGATTTGATGACGAGTGCAATGTGAGATATATTTCTATTCTAACATCTCTCCTGAGCAGAATTATGGCTGACAGTAAAATACACTATCACTCTGCTTATTGTAAGCGAAAGTCTAAGTTCAAAAATATGAACAGAAAGAAAAAACATGAAAAGGATATGGACAACATGAAGCTCAGATGTAATGTTAACTCTTTATCATATGGGAACACAGAGTTTACAGCTGTATTATATGGCTGCCAGCTGAACTTTACCTTTGGTGTCAACAGTCCAGCAATATGCTGGTCCAACACACAGCTGGATCATGCATAAGCTGTGTCACACAGTCAATAAGGGTTAAATATCAACTGGTGCAAACAATTGTGGACATTGACCTAATGAGATGGATGAGGGGATTGTTGTAACATGTTTGTATATCCTCATATAAGGATCCCAGAGTAGTACCCGTGATGTTATTATCCAGATCTAGTCTGTCAGACTGCTTCTGTGAAACAGGAGCAAGTAATTCACCTGCAATGACAGATGCTGGTTGGCTGAAGGAAAAGGTTGTAAGCAATTAGAATGCATCATATACAAGTATCAAATGAACTAATAATGCAATGCAATCACTTTCACAGACTGTTGTGGTCTCATAGACCTGACCCAGGTACTTAAGGATTAAAATTACATTTTAGTAAGCAGTTTCAAACAATAGTAATTATCTCAATTCACTTGTGTAATGAAGTGGTATTAATGCTTTTACTGAACTATCCCTCACCGCATATATCGATGAAGGAAGTAGATAAGATAATTGAAGTTCCTTCCTCCAGTCATCATGAAGATGTAACACAGCAGTGTGCCACTTATTAAGAAGAAAGTGTCAACAGAGAGCACTGCACTTAATATAACAATATGTCCCCAGTCTTTGATCTGCAATAACAGAACCAGTACAATGAATCAGTTTCCAGTTTTAAGAAATGAGTGCAGTGTGCTTACATAATTTATTTCATCATGTATTCTTCTGTGCAATCCTGCCAGCATGCTCACTTACACATTCCTTCTGAAACTTCCACATTTTTAGTGATATTTTTGGTGTATATAATGCTTTAGTAAATTTAATTATCAATTTGTTCATTTTTTCTTATCAGTGATGATAAAGGATAACATATTATGTTTATCACTTTATGTTTAGTTTTGGGTAGGTTTGATTATATTGTTATAGTTCATGTAAAACTATAATGTGACAGTTTGTAACAATGGCATGGAAGTGGTATTCTGAGAAGGAAAATACTAAAATTCTATGGACTATGAAATGGAATGGTGTTAGAAGGGGAAGTTGCACCTGTTACATAATTTTTTTCTGAATTAGTACATAGTATAGTAATGGCAGTAGGTAACAATTGAATCAAACAGGTAAATTGAACTGAAACTAAAAATACAACATTATCCTATGGATGAGTTGGGCCCTTCATGTTTTGTTGTTGTTGTTGTAGTCTAATACTTACACTTTTTACAGTGTCCAGTAAATTAACTTCAGGAGAAAACATTTCTGTAAAATATGCATGCCCCAAAACAACCCAATTGATAGTCACGTACAGTAAATTAACTATAGGAGAAAACATTTCTGTAACATATGCGTGCCCCAAAACAACCCAATTGATAGTCAGGAACCGTATGCCATGCAGACAGTGGAGCGTATTATCAGAATGATCTGTGTTCAGGAGTCGTTTGCCATTTGTGTACCATGAGAAGACCACCAGACTTTCTCTGCGACTCCCTGCATAAACAATTTAATAAAATTATCTCTTTCTGAAATAAAACCATACTGCAGTTACATCCATCTTATCAATATCACTGCTGTTTCTTGCACATAGTATCAGAACTAGAACTTTATTAGGGCTGAGCTTTGAGGAAATAGCTAGTGATTGTTGACACCTTTGTGTGATATAACTTGTTTTAAAAAATGAGACCCTAAATTCTTAGCCATTATCAAAGAGTCAGTATGTATGGTTTACTGGAAATGTCTTATCTAATTTCACTTTTTAGAGTCATGTAACCATTGCATCCTGTGTGGAAGAAATGCTACTACCAAAAGTTAGGTTTGCTTTAAGTTAAGTTTTGAAGTTTGGATATCAAGTGTTGTTTGATGCGTTAACAAACTGTGAATAATTAGTGCAGGGACTTGACTGTAGTAGACCCACCTGTACATCATATCAAAACGTATGTAAGTTAAACTTAAAATATGTTTGAAAATGCTTGAAGTAACAAGACTTACATGGATCCGTGACAATGAGATCATATGCAGTGCTGAGAACACATAGCAGGCCAAAGAAGCTGAGAATTATTCTGAAAATATTAAAATTAATTAACTTATATCTGGTAAAATTTCAAGGTGTAAAGTCTTTTGTTATTTTGTTAAACCTCAAAATAGCACTTTCAGAATTTTGGTTGATTACTTTTGTGTTTTAATTTTGACACTCATGACTAAACCAGTGCATTTAAATTCATTAATAATGCAACATCTGCATTGCTTATTTCCTGCCTTGTTAAACTTACATTGCAAGCCAGTCAACTGGTAGAAATGGCCTAGGTCCTTGAATGTGACATTCCAGTGGATTCACATTTACAGTGTAATGAAGTGCAGTGGTAAAAAAATCCTCGACATCAGCAGCAACACATGAAGATGGCACACATATTGCCCACTTAAATGGGATTGCTGATGGTAATGATTGTGCCTGACAACAATTAAATCATGTTGATGACTGGTTTACATAGATAAGAATTGTAATTGACTCAAATCATAGTTGGGTTTCCTATAATATTATAAGCATGGGAAATTGCAAATGGTAAAATAATTTTTATTCATATTGGAAGTTATATAAGATCTAATCAAAAAGTACTGAGGCCAAATTAATATTTCATATAAATTCAAATATGGAGAGTGATAGCTTTAATGCACATATCCTGACATCTTGCTGCATATGTAGACATTCTTCACTCATTTATGGTCAGCATTTAAAATCAGAGTGTTTTTGTCAAATATCAATTTAATGATGTTCAAGAATACAGGACAGTTTCTGTACATTATATCTTATAAAACATCAGATGTTACCTGAAATCTACCTGTTGATGCAAGTAGAATTTAGAAATGAACAATGAGTTAAAACAGTATTTGTGTAGTGGTTCTATTATTTGGAAGAGGGGCAGATATCTGTTGAAATTGATGAAAGTCTTGAGCATCTCACAATGAATCAACAAAGTGGCTTATTACAAAGTTACAGACAATATCTTGAGCATCTCACAATAAATCAACAGAGTGGCTTATTACAAAGTTACAGACAATCGCTTATTTGTGAAATGACTGAAGATGTGGGACTCTACTATGGCTCATGACAAGCAATTGTAATTAAAGTTTTGTATGTAAGGCTGTCAGCCAAGATTGTTCAACAAGTTCTGAGGCAGTAGCAGAAACAGAACCTCTTTTCTGTGGCTTCTGACATGCTTACAATAACCAATAAAACTTCTTTAAAATTATCAGGTCATGAAACATGGATTTGTGGTTATAATCTAAAATTAAGTAGTATTTATCACAATGGAAATATCTTTTGCCACAACTGAAAGAAGCAATCAGGTATGCAGAGAAACCAAAATGATACACAATGTTTATGTTGACTGTTTAATTCTGTAAAACAGATTGCAATAATGGTCAGGATTAGCATCTTTAGTGTGAATATAACTTGTCTGTTAGCTACAGTCACTGAAACTTCATATTAGTAATGAGTGAACCATGTAATCAAATGTCTGTGCTACGTTTTCATCCTGTTTCATTGTTAATATTTAATTGAATCTGATGGCATGGATCAACTATTCATCCAGTCCTTGATTTAAATTGACTTGGAAGCCCAATTTTCTTTCTTTCTTTATTTCTTTTCTTCTCCTTCTTCTTCTTCTTCTTCTTTTACCATATAGTGTTACTAAATTGTACCATACCTCATATGCTGGGAGGTAATGTGAGACATTCATATCTACTGTCACCATGCAGTGCTGGCCCTTGAATGATCCCCAGTCCTGGTTTACATTCACCTCCAAACATTCATCATAGTTTCCCAAGTGAAAAATGGAGCCCTCCAGTACTCCCTCTGGGAATTTTGTAGATGAATCAAACACTGTGTAACATAAGTGATTATTATTTACAGTGGTAATTTATCCATGCTAAACCTTTTGTTGTGGCTCTAGTAATTCTGTTGTTTAACATTATTTATTGTTATTTAAAAGTAAAGTAATTCCTTGGACTAAGTATCATACCATGAAAGCATATTTAATTCCTTAGACTAAGTATCATACCATGAAAGCATATGGGAGGAACAAAAGTAAAGTCCCATGCAATCTACTGGATGTTATGTCTGAGTAGTTAACAGATTTCATATTTGGGTCATCCTGAATTCAAATGTAAGTCAGATCAACTAACCTGACTGGATATTTATGATTTTGTCCTTCCAGAATAGTACCTTAAATATGTTATGACTGTTTCCTTCCATATCCTTCTCAGTACATTAATCATCCCCTCATTTGACACTGTCTAGTATGATCTGCTAACAATGTTGTTAAATAAACCATCCATATATTCTTAACATTTAAGTTTTATGTATGAAACTAGTCAGTGTCTCATCCAATATGGCAGGAGACAGGGTAAGCTCTAGAGTTGGTCCAGATGAAACAGCAAAGAGAGAAAAAATATTGTTTCTGCTGGGATTTGAACCTAAGTCTACCAGGCAACAACCATCAACTTTACTAAGTTCATTTAATTCTAAGTGGCAGGACAGTATAAAGTATTGGACTGTGGATGTTCTGCATGTGTGTATGGAAATTGTACTGTAAGAGCCCTAGACATATCAGAATATTTTAAAAAGTACAGGACATTGTAGGATGGCAGTGGCTTGGTTGAAGAACACAAAACATCTTCTAACTTCCTATTGTCCACACTTACACTTTCTTATTCAGGAAAAAGGCTTTGACCATGTCAGTGTTGACCCAATTGGAAGTTTGATGACAGTAAATCTGTTGCTAGAAATTTATCATTTGAAATATATTTGTTAAAACACTGCATTGTGCTGAGTTAAAGCCTTACATTTTCATATGTTGTGGGGGGCACAATGTTCATCCACATTCTCAGTCTCAAAGCTTTTCTTATGATTGACAGTCAATACCATCAGTACGCTCATTTCTAAGAAGTTGGTAATAGTCAATACCTTCAGTACGCTCATTTCTAAAAAGTTGGTTGTAGCACTTTCTTCATAAAATATGTAATGTCAGACTGTCTCCAGAGCCAAGTTCCTCATTGTAATCCTGGCAGTAAATATTTTCTATAGCAGGGAATAAATGCCACTACAAACTTTTCAGTCACAGGTAAGCTTTGTATTTTAGGGGGCTTGTCACATACTAATAAAACATTCATTCCTTGTGTCATTAATTTGTTCCTTGATTACACATGACACTGTTGTTTAAACCTTATACCCTGTTAGTCTTGTGCATTATTTATCTTTATACATGAAATTCTATTCCTGTTCACATTCTCTTAAAAGAGCTCGTTGTATTGTGCCTGACAAGTAACATTCAGGTATATTTTAATTGTAATTTTAATCCTAAATTCTTGAACTCATGCTTATGTACTCCATCACTGATCCTGTAGCGTTCTTGCTTAACTTGTATTATAATGAATAGTTCTTACTTTTCATAGCCCATGGTGATCCCTGCAGTAAGTGTTCAATTGTCATTAGAGTATGATTCTTGCATAGCTCATTCTTCACTGCATTTAAGGCTGACAATGGTATAATCCTGTTTAAAAGGTAAAAATTAAGATAACATTTGTATAGACTGAAGTTATTGTTTTCATTTTCGTAATGAAAGGCTTTCCAGAAGCTTGGACAAATGCTTACCATAACTTACTTTACTTTTAGGCTGATCTTGATTATTTTAATGTTAGTTAGTTTAAATTGACAATCTGAAGCACATTGCAATCTATCATTGTTGCAAATTTATTAAAACTAACCAATTGTTTCTACAAATTTGCTACTTGTAACATGCTGCGTGTTTCTGTCTTTTTAAATTCGTTTGTTTTGAGTTTGAATACAATGAAATGAAGTGCTGATACAACCTAACATACAGTGTAAGTCAATAGACTTCCACACAAATTACATTGCAGAATATATGTAATTTGCTACAATTCTGTCGCACGCCACGCGATTAAACAATAACGGCTCGCTGGATTTGTTCACTGCCAAATCCTCCATCAGCAAACAATACTAGTAACAAGAACACGATTGACTGGATATCACTTAATGTTATAAAGTATAAAATATAAGTCTCTCCTATGGTAATGCAATCTCATTTTCACCTCGTGGTCTCTGTTACAGACATTTAACGATGCATCTACCACAGTAGCAGTTACACAAAATGCACGTATCAAGCACTGGTGTCATTAAAAAGGTATTACCAAAATTGATGTTAACTTCCTTTAAGTTTTGTTTCAATCTGTGTTTGGCGTAGAAGCAGTCGCTCATAACAAAGATTGCTGAGCCGACTTAAAACTTAATTCCAGTCAAATTATTAATATATTACAATTTGAAATACTTACTGCTTTAGATACTCCATCTTCCAGGTGTCTTGATGCTAAAACCCATAAACACTATCAGTAATGTCTGTACCTTACGGATGGTGAAATTAAAAAGCTAAGGGATCAGAAAATGACTTTAATTTCTTGAGGTCACAATTGCAGGACAGTACCCGCTGACAGTACCCTATCCAATGTCACACAGCCAATGCTTCTACTAATTCATTTCCTTTCAACTTCTAACTTATGACGTCTGAAAGTTGTGTTTGTTGGTTTTCTGATCAGATAATTTCAAACAGTGCTAAGCCAAGGTTATTTAGTGCTTAACTAGAACTACAAAGTTTGCCTGTCGTTATGTAAAGTAAAATAACATCAGTATAAAACTTCGTTCTGAAATTAACATTGTCATTCTTGACAGTAACTAGTTGAATTCTTACATATTCAAGACATCGAAATAAAATACAAGTAACAGGAAAAGATTTTAAAGTACTTTATTTGCAATTTTGATGTAAGATGGTTGCATAACTAAAATACCAACCTCTAAGAATACCACTAACTAACTAGATGGCTTACAAAAATCCGAAGGTTCATCACCGAATTAACCAAAGCCCTCCACCGTGGACCAACAAAATCCAGTCTCCTTCAACTCCTATCTCCGATAGGTTCCGCCTGAGATTATCCTCCCATCTACTTCTAGGTCTCTCCAGAGGGCTCTTCCCCTCAGGCTTCCCGACCAATACCCGGTGCACACCTCTTAAGCACATTTTTATTATATTCACTAGCCAATTTGGTATAACAAATTCAATGAGAATACGTCTGAAGCCACACTGATGATCCCCGATTATTTCATTCGCATATGGAGTTTATCTCGCCAGAAGAGTGTTTGGTAGAATTTTGTACGAGGTTGATAGAAAAGAAAATCCTCGGTAATTACCACACTCAGTCTTGTCTCCCTTCTTATGAATAGGAATAATTATGGATCACTTCCATTGTTGTGGCATCTCTTCCTTACGCAAAATTAACTGAATAAGCTTATAGATCTTCATGTGCAACCTCTTGCCACTTGCTTTAATTAATTCTAATAATACCACTTCAAATTAAATATCTCACTCTCTTCGTTTCATATTTTTTATTAATTATAGGCATAAGCGTTGTCTAAAAGAATACACATTTTGTAAAGTCTGAAGCTTTAACGGCGATTAGAAGTGATATAAGCTCGGGCCATCATTCCTTGAAGTTGGAGACAAAGACGACAGCCAAGATGTTAGACTTTTTCTCCAAAATGACGAGAGTTTAATAGATGAAAGTCTGTTGCAATAAACATGACATAGAAATATCAATATCGGTCTCATATCTAATTACAGAGAAAGGCATCCTAAGGATATCTGAACTTCACCAAATATTACTGGGATGACCAAATTAAGGTGGATGAGATGAGCGAGGCATGTTGCGAGTATGAAGGAGAGAGAGATGCTTGCAAAATTTGAAATGAAAAGCCTGAAGGAAAAAGATAACTCGGAAGACCTAGGCATAGATGGCATGATAATATTAACACTGAGAGAGTGCTCTTGTGAACAATGTGATGAACCTTTTGTTTCCATAAAACGTATGGAACTTTTTGATTACCTTAGCGACTACTGGCTACTCAAGGCGAGCTCTACTTCTCGGCATTAGATTAGATAAACAAATTACAAATTTAAGTACTTCTCTAGAACCAAACCACCACTATCTATGCAGCAGAATCACTCCAGCACCACCCCAAGTCCTCTTCAGGACCTCTCGAGGCACACTCTGGTCCCTTTCCAGGAAAAATTCAGCACCTGGACCATTCCAGAACTTCTCAGACTCACTCTGGTGCTCCAGAAACACTCCAAAACCACGTCTACTCCAGGACCTCTTCATAACCACTCCTGTAATTCTCCGGAACTTATTCAGGGATTTACGGATACTCAAGGACCTTTCGAGGACCACTCCAGCACATTTTAAGGTCCCCTGTAACATTCAGGAATCTCTCCAGGCCCAAGCCTGTACTTCTCCAGAACAACTCAAGAAACCTATATGACTACTCCAGGACCTCTCCATGACCATTTCAGCAGCACTCTAGGACCCAACAGGTCTTCACCAGGACCACCACAATCCAACCTAACCTGACCTAATCTAAATCAGGATTTCGGAAATACAGACGCGTAGATAATTGCATTTTAATGTGCAATCTTTTGTGAAATAATGTAAATATCTATTTAGGACACATTGGGTGTCGAAATAGTTGGTAGATGTAGGTAATTACTGTTTATTTAGCGTACGAGACTTCATCGAAACTAACTAAACAATTAAAATTATAACACAGCATTATAGTATTTTTAACATTTCGCTTTTCGCGATTCACATCGTTTACACAAAGATATAATAGCGATATAATGACTATGCTACTACGAAAATTAAAGTTTCTTTCATTCTAAATTAAATTTTCTTTGCGGAGACCGCCGAGTGTGGCACCCATGGACTAGAACTGGGTCTTAAAACATGAATGCTAACAAAACATTGTTTTTCAAATGTCCGTTCGACGATATCTTTGCGTCAAGGTGTTTGAAAAATTAATACATTTTTCCGGGAAAGCAATGTGTTTTCGGTACCTATAAAACACTCAAGCTGAAACCCTGTAAGTGAATCAAGATGATTTCTTCCTTTGTACATACATATTAGCATTAACACTGCTCATTTCAAGTTTATTAGGCTGTTGTTTAAACAAGTAAATGCATTCATTGTATGTGTTATAACGTCGTGTGAGGTAGATACTAACGTTTTGGAGGAACATACTACCTTCATCTTCAATCCTGAAGATTTAGAAGTCAAGTTCCTTCGAACCGCTGGTATGTACAGACGGGGTTACAGCCCAAAAAAGCAAAATTGTCATCTTCACTGCTGTGAGAATGTCAAATCTCGTACCATAAAACATACAAAAACTTAAAATTAGTCCCTTTGATTTTAAGGAACATTCGGTATAAAAGACGATG